TAGGGTTTAGGGTTTAGGAAGAGAGGATGTTGGCTACGCCAAGCTCCAAGACGATGCCCACAACACTATCGCATGACTCTTGATTTTGGGGGTTCGAGTTAACAAACCCTGTAGCTACCACCAAGAAGATTTCCTAGTAATGTAGTATGACTGCCTTGCGCGCATTCAGGGATTTGTCGCTACGACCGCAAGTGTCTTGGGAAAAAAGGGGAGCTGATTGCACTACGAGCCATGCTCGTAGACATGGCACAGACCTATGAAGGCTGGCTTTATCAAGATCTCACAAGTGGCCAATTTTTGGTTGTTGAAGCAAGTAAGATTATAGCCCGTATATGAAATACTATACCCCAAAAGGAGGATATAATCTTGCTCTATATTGGGTACCGTTCGATCCCCAAATAACATACTACTCGCATGCCCAGTCGAGAGGATCCGACATCAATGAGGTCATACTCATCCAGTCCACCAACCTGGCCAGCGTTTATGCCTTAGGGTGTACCTGGACCCTCCAATATAGGTTCTTTACGAATCTTCTATGATTTTTGGTGTATGAAAAAGGTGTCACAATTGAGGGTCTAGGCAAGGTTTTGTCTGGAGATATCTTGGGTGTGGACTGTAGTGTAGGGGATCTCCTGTACTCAGCTGTTGCTAATGGGTGCATATTTGGATGGCTAGACGTGAACCAGAATTCAGACGTGGCAAGTTTGAGGTGCTTTAGTAAAGGCTAGATGTTGTAGGACTCAGGACTTACCACGTAAAGCAACAATGCAGGGTGCAGAAGTCAGGTTGCAAGATTTCAGGTTAAGAATTGAAAGCGGAAGATGACATGCTTGAGGTTCGATCTTTGCGAGGTTAGGAGGTCACTCGCTAGCGTTCGGGACCCCAACGACCATATAAACACCAGGATCACCAAACCCTAAACCCTAGACCCTAAACCTAAAACAACATTCCTGTGGATTCACCTTGTAGGGGAGCTTGCAGTCAAAATGCTGGATCCTTATGTGAGCCCTTAATAATGGAGAATCAAATGGAAAAGAATATGGAACATGAAATGGAAACTGGGATTATGTAGAGGATTTTAGGGGTTATAGTTTGAACTCCTAGTATCCCCTTAATAACCCCTATAATACTCCGCTATATGTTCCCCTACCTGGCCCCCTTTAGGGAGTTTAGATTATGGCTCATGTGATGTGCCTAGGCGTCCCATGGGTTATGGTAAGGGTTGCAAGACTGAAGCAGAGCAAGGGAATCTTGAGTGCACATTGAAGAGAAGCTGGAGGAACTGGCGAGAACATGTCCATTGTTCTCTCTCATCTGCTATAGAGTTCTTGGACAGCTGCTTGGATTCAATTTGGTTTGGGGTGTAGGGTTCCGGGAAAATGGTGGTCCATGCTCGGGCCAAATGGTGGCCACCGCCACCCTCATTCTCTTCGTCGTCAACATCATCATAATCACCATCTGCATTGTCATCATCATCACCATCATCATCATCATAATCTTCTTCGCCTTTTGGTACGTCATCATGGTGCTGAATAAACAGGAAGTCGGAAACAAAGAGGCCTTATTCACAAGCAGGTGCTATCCTCTCCTCACACACCTTCTTTCGAGATTGACGGGACCTGGCAACTACCTAAGCTCACAATCCTGGCTTATAAGCGTAATCATAATTTCCGGCACTTACCCTGAGCGCAAGTAAAGTTACGAAGTACCTACAAGTTGCCCGAAACCTCCAAGCCCTTTCCGCCACCTCTCCGAGCAGGAGTAGCATCTTGGCGTTGGCGTCATCCTGTCCATCCCCCAAAATAGCTGGGCTCTGCAGCATGACCGGGTGCCCCTCTAGTAGTAATAGCAATAATAGTAATAATCATAATAGTAATAAGAATAGTAATAGTATAATAGCAATAACAACACTCGTATTGATAACAATGACAAGAATACAATCGTAACAATTATTGATAATGGTACGGTCTTCAGAAAGCTAAACAGGCTTGAAGGGGCTCTGTGGATCCAGGAGAAAGAGCTCCAGGAGTCTTCCTCACAAAGCTTGGCCCAAAAGAGACCAATGCGTAAACTTGCAGCCCCTCGACTTCAATATCAGGATGAAAACCTTGTTATCTTCATAAGGAATCCGGGCAGAGGGCTACAATCTTTGTGTACTTGTTGGTTCGTAGTAGGAAATACGGGAATATAATCCCCATCCACTCCCCACAACATCTGCTCCCTTATTATCCCTACTAAAACCAGCAAGTAAAGGATAGATGAGACCGCCTACATCCCACCCACTCACCACCGCTCAGCCCACCCCAACACCCTGTCAGAACATTGCCGACTGCACACCCCTATAACCAAAAGCCCATACACCCGCAAACTCGAAAACTCGGAAACTACCCCGCTAAACCCTAACCCTCAGTGCTTTGGCGATTCATGAACGCCCCGAAGTAAGTGGGTAGTTCCCAAGACTACAGGCCCGTTTTGGGCCCCTTTTACCTTACTGCACCTAATCTTTCGGGGTACCAAAATGGGACCCTCATACCAAACTCCCAGTAAACCTTCAACCCTGCCCCGAAGTAAGTCCTGGTAGCGGAGGAAGTGGTCGAGGAACCTGCTGCCCGGGTAGCGATCTCCACCTCAAGGTGAAGAGCTTCAGCCAAAGCGAGAGATTTTTCTAGGGTTTAGGGGTTTGGGGTTTAGGGTTTAGGGGTTTAGGCATGTGAGGTTTAGGGTTTAGGGGTTTAGGGATTTGGGGTTTAGGGTTTAGGGGTTTAGGGATTTGGGGGTTTAGGGTTTAGGGGTTTTAGGGTCTAGGGGTTTAGGTTTGAGGGGTTTAGGTGCGCGACAGTATAGCCGAAAGAATCCGAATAAATGCTGTGGATGGAGCGACATAAAATGAATAGGAAGAAGTCTTCAATGAGCACATGCTTTGGTTTCACGTTCGTGCTCGGCATCGTGTAGGATCCAAGTATACAAACAATACCTACATTGGGCGCCGAAGTCTGTAAATAGTACCTATATGACTAAGGGTCCAAGCGCCGAATAATCATATACTTACTCGAAACAGTAGAATTACAAGTACCAAAACCCTAAGTACCCAATTATTGGGTACATGAACCCTTCGGGCATTGGCTATTTGGATCCCTCTCAGGGTGCTGGTGTGGACTGGCATCTAATTTCAAATGGCTGGGCGTCAGATGCGGGCCGGCTTGGGATTTCGGGGGCTTATGTCAACGGTAACCCTACGAGTAGGGCTCCGAAAAGCCCGACTTGGGTAGTATTGCAAAACTTCGGGCACAATGTAGGCAATATCCCTAAACCCTATACAGAAGGTGATATGTATAGACATGGAGCCCCAGGGCGAGGTAAGAGGTACCAGAGGTCTGGCCAGACATGTTATTTTCTTGCACCATCCGCCACATGAGTAGTGTGTTTCTGTTGGTTGGGCTCTGGAAGATTATTCGGGCTTTGGGTTTAGGACTCTGTACCCAGAAGGAGGATATAATCTTACTCTATATTGGGTGCCGAATTTTCCCCCCAACAAATGCTCCTTATCTGGATGGGTGTACAAAGAGTGCATGAACCCTTCACCTACGATCCGAAGGGTCCAAGCATCCAGATGATGGTGTTGAGGTGCCCAAGACAAAATCTGAATGACTTTTAGTATCTAAAACCCAGATATGAGCCATAGTCTAAACTCCATACCATCCCTGTTAATAACCCCTATAGTCGTCACCTATAGAACCCCTTATTTAAGATGTTTAGACTACGGCTCATATACTGCGAAAACCTTCAAATACACCTTGCGCCCTCTTGCTGCTCTTAGTCACAAGAGCAGCTTTCTTTGATGGCTGACCCAGTGAGATCATATTCTACCTATGTTGTAGTATGCCCCAAATGGAGGAGATACAGTTACTTTCTATTGGGAACTACAGAACATCCCAAAGCACATTCTGCTCACAGGGCCCGCGCCGATCGCAACACCCTCGTACACACCGTCCGAGTTCCGGCAAACGATGTTGTTAAGCTCGTTGGACCTCAGCAGGAAAAACCGTATTCAGGGAAATCTTTCGGGTCTTGGGGCAGTTCCACAAGTGAGGGGTCCCCTTTTGGGAGCGCGTATAATACATGTATTTCTTTTTTCGCAGTCTACATTGGGGCCCCCTATTCATGGCAACCAGTGTTCTACCCACCCAACATCCATGCAATCAGGCTTACAGGGAACCTCCCAAAGCAGTACCCGATTTGTTAAGAAACATGATGCTGTAGGACGCAAATCCTCAGTGAATCGCGGCTTTTGAGAGCAACGTCACAAGGAACCTTCCCTAAACCACCCATGACCTCTCATTAAGACTAAGGGGGCACATATGACAGTTGGGAGGCCAGGGCTATTCCGCAAACTAGGCTTCCAACATTCCGCCGGACTTGGAGACGTAAGCCACGGAGCCGGGTCGGTAGAGGCGGGACATCACAATGTTGTCCAGCCTGGGACATCACGCATGACATGTTCTGGGCTGTTAGAACACATGCTACACCATGCGGGATTTGTAGGGCGGTCTTAGTTTCTAGAGATATCCAATATATAATGCATTTGAGTGGTCATCGTTGCAGCAGATGACCACAATTTTGGCAAAGCTCGTGTGCAGACATCGGAATCTTGCAACGCTTCATAGGGGGGGGGGCTGTAAGATTTACGTTTGCAAAGATCACTTCCAGCCGCACCCTATCTTCCTGCAACTTGGACCGAGCCATCGGCTAAGGGCCTTCATGTGATATGCCTACTCTGGGGCTCCATGTCTATAGATACTACCGACAGTTTAGGGTGTAAGGATACTACTGTACCTACAGTTCAGGGGTTTAGGGTTTAGAGGTATTACCTACATTGGCCCCCAAGGTCGGGCTTTCTGGAGCCGTAGAGTCAGAGACTTACCGTGAAGACATCCTGAAAGACAAATCCCGCAACCCCTTCAGCCAAGACTGAGCAACATGGAACAAATGGCAGCTACTATATTTTGTATACATACATATATATGGGGTTCTATGGGCAGTATATGGTAGTCTCCAAAATACTACAATCCTCATTCTGGGTTCCTAAACCCTGCCTGAACCCTAAACCCCCAAACCCTAAACCCCTAAACCCTAAACCCCTAAATTCCCAAACCCCTGAACCCCTGAACCCCTGAACCCCGAAACCCCTAAACCCCGAAACCCCCAAACCCCTAAACCCTAAAAACCAAACCCTTAGCCCTAAACCCTAAACCCTAAAAACCAAACCCTTAGCCCTAAGGCTTCGGCATACCACCGGTGTTGCCAATTCGGAGGCAGCCCGGCTTGATTCCTCCCACGGTCGCCGGGCCGATGATGCCTGTGCACACGTGGAAATCTGTCCAGGCCAAAACTGGGTTGGGTTGTGGGTTTAGGGGTCTAGGGTTTAGGGTCTAGGGCTTTAGGGTTAGGGGTTTAGGGTTAGGAGTTCAAGGTCTAGGGTACTCTACACCCTAAGTATTGACAATATGAACAATAATCTAAACTCTTAGCATCCCTCTTAATAAGACCGAAAATGCACCCTACATAATCCGATATACTGGCTCATATAGTGATGAGTAACCCGGGTAATACTAAGAGTATGTCAAAATGTAGTCCTTCAGTTGATATGAACGGCTGTCAAGGTGCTTGAATCCAGCAGCCCTAGTCGGATGACCTATAGTCCCCCTTCAGTAGATAGACTAAGGCTTAGGGCTTAAGGGGGACTATATGCTGAGGTCAGAAGTGACAGGATGCTAGTGCGATGATTATGAGGATTGACTTGAAGAAAGATTCTCAGCACCAGCAACCCAATTTCAGGTTTCGGCAACTTGCCCTGCCCTTGCTTATTCTTCATCCTTCCAAAAGCCTTCAGAAAACTTCTCGCAACTTCCCAAAACCCTGCGTGAAGGAATATGCACTATGATACTGGGATGCTGGTCACGTCACATGATGAAATGGATTTCCCCTACAATGGATTTTAGGAACGTTTGAAGACACTAGGCCCGCAAAGTCCAAAACAGGAATGCGCTTGCAAAAGCAGCTCTCGGAAGTGCTCAGGCCTCATAGGGTGTACTAAGATGTGAGTGCCCTGTGACACCTTTGCAGCAGCCTGCATCCTCAAGGCTAACCCGTAGATATCTGGCTTAGGGCATTATTGGGGCGAGGACCCTTCAAAATGGCTCCTTGCCCTGCGCTGAAATTTCTTTCGCTAACTGACAACGCATGACGTTCTGCACATCACCAAATCAGACAGCATCAAAATTCTTCAAAGCCTACTGTAAGGGATGCTCAAAATCCTGAAAAGTCGTGTGTAGAACCCCTACATTCCACCAACAACAAGGTGGGCCGTCTCGCCTACGCCCTTCTTCTCCGCAACCTTGATGATGTCGCGGGTCTGCTGCTCCGGCACACCCTGCAAGGCGCCAGGGCCAAGGGCCATGACAATGCAGCTGTGCAGGATAGAATGTGCTCTGCGGGTTGACAGAGTACCCTGAGGGTCCAAGGACCCAAATAATAGGGTTTTCGGGCCTAAATACCATTAACATTATAATGTTTGGGCCCTAAAACCCTATTATTTGGGTCCTTGGACCCTTAGGGGTAGGTGGAATGTTGTTCGGAACTTGCGCGCAGGTTAGCTTCGAGGCGCATTGTACATGTCTGAAAATCAACTCCTTGGCTCTTTTGTTTCAGGCTAAGGTGAGCTGTAGCATCAGGAGGGAGATGCAGTCTGGACAGCTGGCCTCTCCACAGAAGCCCACGCATGGGCTCACCAACTACTTGTACTTCTAAATTTCTTTGGTGAGCCATGCTTTGACTGAAAAGCTACCCCTATATAACACCAATATTATAGTAGTTTCCATGTTCTTTTCCCTTATCCTTATAATAACCCCTCCTAATTCACCATAATATACTATAACATATTGCCTACTTGCGCCGGAAAGATACAAAGTAACACATCGTGAGAGTCATCCCTGCAGTGCCTTGCTTGCTCCGGGCTGCCATTGCCCAAAGACCCGAACGCTTGTTTATCTAAGGGTCCAGGTATCCAAATAATTGGGTTTTAGGGCCCCAATACCATTAATATTCTAGAATTTAGGCCCTAAAGCCCCATTATTCGAGTCCTTGGACCCTTAGGGTAGGCCCCTGCAAATGACTGCCATCATGTTGGGGGCACAGGAACAGAAGCCTCCGCAATGATTGCGATAGTCTTCAAGTTGCTGTAGTTCATGGCCTGACTGAACGGAGGCAGTGCTCTGGTAAGGGGAACCTTAAGGGGACTCCATGGAAGGGGGGGCCCCATACCTTAAGAAGCTAGGGAGCCTTAGGGAGGCTTAGGGAGGTCTAGGGAGTCCTTATTTATGGGTCCCCCTTATATGGGGTCCCTTGAGGATTCCCTAATAAGGAGAACATGGGGACATGGTACTGTGATTACGCCGGTGATGGTGGCTTCTGAAAGTAGCACACCCTAGGGTTGGGCACCTCCCAAACCTCAAACAGAACCATCTCACCCAACGTAAAGCCTAACGCTGGCATTAGAATGCCTACTGTAGGTTGCATCCGCTCCATGTGCCTGCATTTCTGACAAGCACAGATCTCAATCATGTTTCTAGCATGCTCTGGATGTTTGGTTTCACTTCGCCGCAGTATGTGTTGGGATCCTAGCTAGTGTATTTGTCAGATGATGTCTTAGTTGCGGAGGAGGTTTGCATTGGGTTGTTGGGTTTAAGGTTTACAATCTAGAAAGTAGATCCCCGCTAAGGGTGCCTGTAATCCACCCAATAGCAGCATAGGGTACCAAGTTGGAGGTACCACTTTCTAAATCCTCCCGGGTTGGGGTTTAGGGGCTATAGGTACTCATGGGGGTAATATTAGGGATATACTGGGGTTACATTAGGATAATGAAAAATGTAGGGGTGTCGAGCTCTAAACCCTTACACCTTTCAACCCAGCAAAATTCTGGTCCTCCATGGAGGTCTCGTGGACGGATCCTCGGGTCTAACGCAACAAGCCGGGCAAAATCCTGCATGACCCTAGGCAAAGTGTAGTCCCGACATTCTAAGACTGTAGATATATAGGGCCGTCCAGGAGTTTGTTCATGAACTGCGAAATATGAGATCCGCTCAACAGTCTGTTAATGTAGGAAATCTTGCACCACTTCGGGCCCCTTAATTCTGCATCTTCTGGGGATGACGGAACTTAGTGTTGTGGAGGATTTCCTCCATCAACAGGTGCTCTTTCTCTCGAAAGTGCGCATGAGTACTGAATAACGACTTGTCAGTAGATTTGGGTTGAGGACGGGGGGGGGAGGGGTGAGGGTGGGGGATGTGGCAACGTCAAAATCTGCCGACGGCCTTGAGCAACTTCGTGGAACTTTCAGGACAAGCAGGCATGTTCGGAAATGCTAGGCTGCAGTTTGGCGGCTGCTCTGAGACTTCTGGCTTTGAAGGCTAAACTCTTCCACCCTGAATATGTAGTATAGTGAGCTACCAAGCATCGGAAGGAGGCGAAGTTCACGAAGACAGACGCATTGGGGTGCTTCTGCACGGCCTGACACAATTCCCAGAAAGCCTCACACCCCTGAATTTAGGAATGCTTCATCTAAGGATCGCAGCATAGCCTGAACTTACCTGGATCCGAAAGTATGTAACATGATGGCCCCAACCCAGAACAACTAAGTAAAAAGGGGTCTTACTCTATATGCCCTTAAACTCCTCAAGGAATCATGACCTGATCTGGGAATCGCCAAGGGTGCGTTCCCACAATTATGGACAATTGAGTAGCGTTTTTTTTGGTGGTTCAACCCAGTAAGATTATATTCCTCATATAACATACTATACCCCAAAAGGAGGATGTAATCTTACTCTATATTGGGTACAGTATCCCCAAATGAAATACTACTCAATGGAAATGGGGCGCCTCGGGTCGGACCTGGGCATGGCATTGAGGCCTTGCAAATTCTCATTACAAACTCCATTCCAAGACCCTCCTAGTACCCTTAATTGGGGTTATATAGCCCCTAATAATGGGTACTTAGGCCTAAATAGAGGGTAATTGGAGGGTCTAGGTTCCCAACGAACCATCAGTACTTCGATCTCTGTACCAGATTCTAGGGTCTGGTGGCAAATAAAGAGCCTGGAAGATTAAATGGAAACTGCTATACATGGGGGTTTCCCAAAATTAGGGGTACCTTTTTTGGGTCCCTATAATAAGGATTATAGTATATTGGGGTATATTGGGGTCCCCCTATTTCGGGAAACTACCACATATATATATATATATGAAATGCTGCAAGTCAGCCACTAAAAGCTTTCTGTCGTTGGCTTTCGGGCATCTTCTGATGTCAAATAGCATCCCCATCCCTGCTATCCCAAAATACAAGCCTACATGGAAGTTTCCCTAAATTGCTGTTCCCAAAATGGGGGAAATTTATCTAGGGCCCCGTATTAGAATATTGACAGTAATTTAGGACAATCCCCACATACTTAGGCGGAAAGACCTAGGCTTGACACAGATCAGGGTTTAGCGGTTTACGCCGGCCTCCTTGGTTGTGGTGTAGACTGGCATCAGGACCTGCGCAGCAATGCCGGGGAGCGAACAGTCGATATATCCCTAATATAGGGGGATTATGTAAGGTTATAGTCTGAGGTTATATGGGAATCATGGAAATGAAATGGACAAGAATGGACAAAAACCTGCAAGATGAAATACTATATTCAAGAGTTATTCAAGAGTGGAACATGAAATAATGACAAGTCAATGACATTCTGACATTCTGACATTCTGGTTGCTTTAGGATGCCTTATCAGACTTGGCGGAGACGACACCCACCAGGAAGACTGAGCCGTCACCCTGATCTTGGGTTTTGGCAATCAGTACCAGGAAGTGGACTAGCTGCATAGAAGTATCAGCAGAAGTGGCCAAGCCATGCGCAGGGAAGACAGGAATGCAAAGCAACCAGCCTCCTCAGTGCCCCAGTAGAACTTCACCTGCGCTGCGAGAAAAAAACACACACACACACACGCGCGCGCGCGCGCACACACGCACACGCACACGCACACGCACACGCACACACGCACACACGCACACACGCACACGCACACGGCACACGGCACACGGCACACGGCACACGGCACACGGCACACGGCACACGGCACACGCACACCCACACACACCCACACACACACACACACACACGCGCGCGCACACACACACACACACCCGCGCGCACACACACACACACACACTTTTGCACACACACACACACACACACACACCCACACG